GCCTTTTCACTCTTTGTGGTTCATGCTGCGATGCCTTTTCACTCTTTGTGGTTCATGCTGCGATGCCTTTTCACTCTTTCTGGTTTATGCTGCGATGCCTTTTCACTCTTTCTGGTTTATGCTGCGATACCTTTACACTCTTTGTGGTTTATGCTGCGATACCTTTTCACTCTTTGTGGTTCATGCTGCGATACCTTTTCACTCTTTCTGGTTTATGCTGTGATACCTTTTCACTCTTTGTGATTCATGCTGCGATACCTTTTCACTCTTTGTGGTTCATGCTGCGATACCTTTCACTCTTTGTGGTTCATGCTGCGATACCTTTCACTCTTTGTGGTTTATGCTGTGATACTTTTTTGCTCTTTGTGGTTTATGCTGCGATACGTTTACACTCTTTGTGGTTTATGCTGCAATACCTTTTTGCTCTTTGTGGTTTATGCTGCAATACCTTTTTGCTCTTTCTGGTTCATGCTGCGATACCTTTTCACTCTTTGTGGTTTATGCTGTGATACCTTTTCACTCTTTGCGGTTTATGCTGTGATACCTTTTCACTCTTTGCGGTTTATGCTGTGATACCTTTTCACTCTTTGTGGTTTATGCTGTGATACCTTTTCACTCTTTGTGGTTTATGCTGCAATGCCTTTTCACTCTTTGTGGTTCATGCTGCGATGCCTTTTCACTCTTTGTGGTTTATGCTGTGATACTTTTTTGCTCTTTGTGGTTTATGCTGCGATACCTTTTCACTCTTTATGGTTTATGCTGCGATACCTTTTCACTCTTTGTGGTTTATGCTGCGATACCTTTTCACTCTTTGTGGTTTATGCTGCAATACCTTTTCACTCTTTGTGGTTCATGCTGCGATGCCTTTTCACTCTTTGTGGTTCATGCTGCGATACTTTTTCACTTTTTGTCGTCCACGAGACCCCTTACTATAGTAAAAAAAATGCCTTTACATAAATATTTTGTAATTCAGTTGTCATTTCAATAAACTTCTCAAAAATACTTAAAACAATTGGAAGTGTTTCATTTATGAATAGGTTTCACTGTCTGAATACCGGATGAGAAAAAGGGAGAACACTAAAAACGAGAGCAACAATCTCAAGTTAGAAACACATGGGAAACGTGACTTTCAGAACAATGAAGCGAATGATACTGGTCTTTTACCACTGGCACAGTTTGAACCACTTTTAGCTCAAGATGCAACAGAAATTGATTTTAAAGGTAAGAAAAGATATGTTTAAGATTTTTCTATAAACACATTGCTGTATACTAAACTTAGTTGATGATCTCATTATGGACATTTTTCCATTGAAACTATATTAATATTGTATTAGAGATTCACCTTTTTTAGTGTAATGTAGTTCTTTCTATACAACCACTTTAGCGGGGCTAAATATTCGTGTCTTAAGTTTACTTTTCTAGCATTATCTAGTGTACTAGAACCATTTCAGTACAGCTAACTGTACCTATCGTAAGGTTAATCTTTCTAGTGTTACAGAACCACTTCAGTACAGCTAACTGTACCTGTCGTAAGGTTATCTTTCTAGTGTTAC